GCGATCAGTAAAGTAAACTTTGAACAAAGGCTAGGTGAAATTGAGGATACACGGTGGGCAGCGAAAGGTGTACAAGTATCTATATATGAAAAGTCTAAACAGGGGACAAACCGAACCCGCAAGCTGAGATTTAAATACATTCAACGATATGGGGCCGATCAGAGCATATCAGTAGAAAAGGGAGTAAAGAAAACTGGGAGGAAATTCTGGGAAGAGAGAATGCAGGAGAAATCACAATATCCAGAACACTAAAGCAGGAAATAAAGAAGGAACAGTTTTATGATAATTCACTGGGGAACTCATTGCTGGTTGAAGCTAGAATGGGGGTGGTGAGAACGAAAAGATATGGGGCTAAATTCCAGGAAATAGACACTCTATGTGACGTAAGCAATCGCGAAAGGGAAGCTAGAGAACATGTCATTTTAAGGTGCACGGGGGCTTCGTTCCGCACTCTTGAAGAGGGGGAGGGGTGTTACTACGGATTTGGAGGGGGCACTGGGATTTGAAGGCACGGAGGACGAATGGATAGGGAAAAAATTGCGTTAACGAAGAGGAGATTAGAAGATTGGTAGAAAATGTCTAGGGAGGGGGGAAAATACAGATAAAAATAAGCAGTGGTAAAGGGGGAAGGGTTATGTTATAACAAGATTTATACAATGTTTAAAAAACGAAGGGATGACGAAATGTTAGGCCAGGTGGCGCAAGCTGCCACCCGTTACAAAGGGTATAGCCATTACTAGGGATGCTGCGAACTTTTTTCGAACCGAAGTTGCGATGGTCGAATCAAGCGGTCCGACAGGTTCGAAAGATTTCGATTTTCGAACTTTCTATATGGAGACATTCTACAGAAGTCGAATTTTTGAACTTGTTAAACTAAGAAGTTTGACGCTTTTCGAACTTTGCACGTTCAGAAATGCAATGCTTTCGAACCTTCGACCTTATTACGCTAAGAAAGTTTGATCCTTTTCAAACTTTCAACCTTTTTACGCTGCAAAAATTCGATGCTCGTCGAACTCTCGAACTTGATAGACCAAACAATCTATGATTTTCGAACTTCTTGCACTGAAAAGTTTTAAGCTCTTCGAACTTCGTACGCTAAGGACTTCGATAATTATGGAACTTTAAAACTGATTTATCTAGAGAATTCAAAAAGGTTTGAACTTTCAAATCCTGAAAACTCAAAAGTTCGACAAACTTCGAACTTCTATGGTAAAAGCTCGAAGTTCGTCAAACTTCGAAAGATTAGCGGACGGTTTCATTTGATTTCAAGCAGTGAGGCCCATCCGTAATTTTTTTTTCTCAAATTTTTACATGCAATGGTGCGTTCCTTGTGAAAGACAATGCTGTTTATTTCAATGTTCTGGCATGCTTAGTTTTAAAGAAATAAATTCCCGAAGGAGCGAGGAAGGACGACGGGTTTTGACGATTGTCGTTTGTGCCATATTTGAAGTGCGCTATAGCCGAAGCTATTTATGGTAAAGATGTTAAAATTTTTAAGAATGATATATGTATACCCTAGGTAAGTGTCGTCTTAAGATATGATTATTGTTATTCAAGATGAGTTTTGAAGAAATGTCCAAACATGTATCTACGGCAATTATGCCCTAAACTTGGTAATTTTGTTTCGTTTAAATTGTTTGAGGTATCACATTTAAATTAACACCACAGACAGTACATATCATTGCCATCTGCAGAATACAGAATACTGTATTGATTGTTTTTTCATGTTGAATAAATTAACTCATGGGGAAAGCTTTCTAACAGTGTTCAAGCTCAACACGTCCTTAAAAAAAAATTTTTTTTTTTTGCTTTACGTTTTTGGGACGTGTTTTTTTTTAGCCTGTACACATTTTAATAGGAGAAAATTGTTTCAAAGTTCTGAGCCTCTGAATATGCAAGAATAGAACACTTCCGGCGGGTTCTGGGTAGTTTTTTTTTTCTCCAGCTTTTCATTTTTGCATTTATTGTTATGTTTCATTTTTTTTTTTATTAATGACACAGTTATTTAGGTTGAAAAGACATAGCTTTGAACTTCCGAACTGCTAAGCATGTGACAAGGAGTGCCTTCTGACAACAAGTTTCCGACAATGATTATCTACGCGATCTTTTATGCAGTGAAGAGCGACAGTCATATACATATGCATAAATAATTTAAGATTAAAATAAGCTCGACCACGCCCTCTTTCCCTGTATTTTCTTTAACAATCCGAAATATCGGGGGGGGAGGGGAAGGGGGGGGGGCTGGAGCCCCCTTCCCCCCCGTTTTTACTCTTCCGACGCCACTAGTATGGTAGAACGCTCCTTGACCTCGAGTTGTGTCGGCTTCTGTGCTTTCTGCTCGGCGTTTCCTCCCTCCCGGAAAAGAAACCTCCAGAACAATTACAAACTGAACTTACTATATGCCAGCGTCACTCGGGCGGCGTTCGATCGGATTACTGCCAGCGTACCAGCGTGCAAGGGGGTGGGAAGGTAGTTTGCCAGATCGCTTCAAGGTTTTTCTGAGCCTCAACCTCCTGCCCGCCCCTGGCCGTTTTGAACTGGATGAGTATCGTAGAACAGTGCGTTCGTGTGATCACTACTGCGTGATGCACGTTAACCCGTCCCCGCCCCCTAGGCTGGCGCTCACAATTACTGATCTATGGTCACACCACACGTCCTTCTGCACTGGCAAATATTGCAGCACATCCGGGACACTCGTCTCATTTAATTGTCTGACCGACTTCGCGAAGTCTTAATATCACACCCAAACTTTTCTAAACCTGATTTCGTGAAAACCAGTGAGGTGCGCAAACGTTGATTGAAACAAACTATGGAGGAACATGAAAACCGGACTTCGAACTTTGAAAACTTGGACTTGAAATTTAAAATCTTCAAATTTTTTTTTCTTTTTTAAATTTAGCTTTAAAGGAGAATCGAAACCTTCGACCTTCATCTAGAAAGAAATTCGAAATCTTCGAATTTTTCAATCTTTATGTCTATAAAATTTCGAAGCAGTCGAATTTTTCCAATTTCAGATCCAAGGATTTTTTTAAATCTTCGAACTTCAGATTCAAATAAATTCGATATCTTCGATTTTCTTAAATTTCGAGTTAGGAAAGCTCGAGATCTTCGAATTTCTTGAACCTCAAGTAAAAAAAGTGAAAGCCGTTTACAACTCCTTGTAACGCCGAATTAGAGCGCAGCTCTTGAGGAGGAGGGAAGGGTACTGGGGGGGGGGGTCAAGTGACCTTGGGTGGGGGTCATGTGACGATGCCGATGACGTCATCAGTAACGATGACGATGCGGATACCGATGACGTCATCAGTGACGTCATCAGTGATGATGACGATGCGAATGCCGGTGACGTCATCAGTGACAATGACGATGCGGATGCCGGTGACGTCATCAGTGACGTCACTGATGACGTCATCAGCGATGATGACGATACGGATGCCGGTGACATCATCAGTGATGATGACGATGCGGATGCCGGTGACGTCATCAGTGACGTCACTGATGACGTCATCAGCGATGATGACGATGCGGATGCCGGTGACATCATCAGTGATGATGACGATGCGGATGCCGGTGACGTCACTGATGACTTCATCACGTCATCAGTGATCATGATGAGGATGCCGGTGACGTCATCAGTGACGTCACTGATGACGTCATCGGGGGTCACGTGACTTGGGAAGCCACGTGACCTTGTGGGTCACGTGACCTTGGGTGTCACGTGACCTTGGTTGGGGAGGGGTCACGTGACCTTGGTTACGCCGACGGCGACGCCGCTCAAGCCGGGAACGGGCCCCTAAGAGCTGCGCTCTAAAAACATTTGAAATATTTGAACCCAAACTTTTAGGAACCGTGAAAGCTTCGAACTTTTGGAATTCGAAACTCCACGGTGCTCAAAATTTGCGAATTTTTCGAACTTCGGTCGGTACGAAAATATCGAAATATTTCGAATTCGAACCTAGGGTGGTTCGCGACACCCTTAGCCATTACCATCCACCCATTCGCCATTTTGGCATCCGTATCGCGCGCATTCTCTCGCATCTAGACTCGTGTTTGCCGTCATAAGATGTAAAAACAAAATAAATTCCACCAGGTGGCTTTAATTCAACGAAAGGCCATCACGCTGGCGGGAAAAGATAAGCAGCACTGCGTGATCTCGCAATGCCGGCGACCCGACGAGCTCGCAGTGCTGTTTGTAATGCGACTCTCCAAAAGATGACGGGCGCGCACTCATACACGCGCAAAGAGCGCGGCTTTTAAAACCGTTTAGAGAAAAGCAAGGATCACCTCTGTACAGCGAAGAACCATCTCGGACTCCGACAACGACGACTTGTGCACATTATTTATTTTTGCGGTGGCGTGAGTTTTATAAAAGTTGTTCTGTGGGGTATGTGTTCAATCTTCATTTTGCCTGCGCGGTAAAATTGGCAGCAATTTACTTTTTGAATATCTGGAAGCTCAATCTGCCTGCGCGTTAGAATCGTGAAAACATGGCAGTTTTACTTATAACGTAAACAGCAAGGGTTTATAAAAAATGGCTACAAGACCCGCAATTTTAGGCGGCTAAACAATGCTTTTAAGGATTCTCTGGATGTTCAGGGCATGTTCCGCGCACGGAATATTCGCTATTCGATTGAATATCCCTACATTACCCGAATATCCTTACATTACCTGAATATTCGGCCATAACCAAATATTCTGAAATTTCCAAATATGGTGGAATTCTCGAATTGAACATGAATCGAATAAGAAAAATATTCGATTCGTATTCTAAATCTCGACTATTCACACCCCCCTAATAATTATCTATCCAATTGTTAATCTAAGTAACCAAGAGATATTTTCAAATTTCTTGGCTCTAGATATCACACTTCAGAGCAATATCTTTGCTTTTGAATTTCTGGAGTGAAAACCAGTCCACCTCTACCACACTTGCAAGCTTTTCATTCTAAAGTATAAACCTAAAAAAAAAATACAGGATAGCAGAATCAGTTTCTTCTTTCAAGGTTGAGTAAAGTTTTAATGGAAAATGGGGGTGGGCAAATGCCGAAGAACTTCTGCTTGCGTCTCAGCTGCACAGGCACCTCTTGGGGTAGACGTGGTCGCAGTGACCTTTAGCATTCATCAGGATGCGGCATCGTGTCTCACAGATGTCCTCATGGTCTGGACAGCCGTCGTATTTGCCGACTGCAAAAGAAAGGAGTCTGGGCCTACGGATAACTTTGAAACCAGGACAGTGCCTAGGAAATGCTTCATTGTTAAATCAGACAGCGAATGCCCCTGCTATGCAAGTGCCTACTTACAAAGTCAAGGCTTATATGCTATTCACTCAAATTTGTTTACACCCTTAAAGGGGCCCTGCAATCATATTTAAGCGTCTACCTTTTTCGCGGTTTCCACGTCTCTTGGGGTTCGGGCAAGCCAGCGGGCACGGAGGGAGTAACTAAATTTCAGTGAGTCATATTTTAACCGGGCGACGCGGAAACCTCCTCCACCTACGAGGGCGACCCGCGTTAGCGAAAGCGCGCAATATGTGACGTCTTTGGTCCTGGGCTTACTACTGGTCAGAGCCGCTAAAAGCTTTTTTTTTAGTCGAAATACAAAATATAAGCGTCGCGAACCGTTTCAATTATGTATGAAAGTAGTTTTCGTTCAGTATTTTAGATCAGAAAAGAAACAAATGCAGTTTATAAAGTACGGAAACTAGAAAAGACCCGTCAAACAACCCGCCACCAAGCGGCGGAAAAAACGGCGCATACTAGAAAGGGCTAGTGGGATGAGGTTCCGACTAGAGTTCCTGTATTTGGCTACCTACGGTAGCAGAGTTCCGCATTCAGCTTCGGCGGGTGGCCGTAGCGCCGGCTTTCCCGCACGCCCTGGATGCTTTCCTCCTCACGTGACTAAATTTGGCGAATAGCGGCGCCGCGCGCGCCGCCGCGCATGGAAAACAGGAGAGGAAGAGGAGGAAGCGAAAGCAGGGGAACATACTCCGGGGCGCGAGCAACGTCGGCGGGGCGACCGTAAAGGTGGCTTTCTTGCACGGCGCCGGATGCTTGGCTCCTCACGTGATGGATCTCGGCGAATAGCGGCGTGGCGGCGCGGGGAAAACAAATTCGCAACTCTGCTCCCCCTTCGGGGGAGCATATCGAGGAACTCTAGCTCCGACGAACGGCGAGCGTAGAAACGTCCCGGATGTACGCGGCGGCGCTGCGGTCCTACACCGGCTCGAGGATCCCACCGGTTCCGAGCGTTCCGAAGGCTTTCGGCGCGGGCTTGGCTGGCGATTTGGCCATTTGGCGGTATGGCAGCGCGAAGTGGCTCCCGTTCTGAACTGATCTTTACCTCGTGTTTGCTGTCGTTTGTGGCCAATGAAGTGTTATGCCGAATTAGTCTTTAATCGCGCAGCAAATGCAATACGAGCCGCCCTGGCCGCCCGCTTCATACAGCCTATCCAACACGTGCTTTAGTGGCGCCCTCTCGAGCTGTCAACACGGAGGGGCAGCCGTGAGGGCTCGATGAGCTCCTCTGGTTCACGGCCACCCAAGCCAGGACTTACGACGTCATGAAGGAGGTTATTTTTTGCTTGTTTTCGTAATTCTAATTTGCCTATGACTTTTAAAATGAAGCGAAATTTGAGAAAAGAAAAGTTTCTTTAAGTTACCACGTTCAGTGCGTTTAGGTTCGGTGCAAATTAAAAAACAGTCAAAAAGTTTTTGCAGGTAAGTTCGCTCTTCGCAAATTTTACAAAAACAAAATGCACCATCTGTGGTCAACGCTGCACAAAGTCGTAGCGCGATAGATCAAGAAACCGAATTTTCCGGTCGATTTAAAGAGCGTGGCGTCGTCTTGTTTCACCCTGTATATGCAAGGACTAGCAAGGGGGCAAGGGCTTCAACAGCCAAAGCAGGTCCTGAGCCTCCACAGTACCGATTTTGTGTATATCTGAGACAAAAGGACTGAAGGCACAGTGCAGCATTCCACGCCCCAGCCAGGAAAGGGGGGCGTGCCCCCCCCCCCCCTTCTCCCGCCAAGTGCCTGGCTGGAAGGGTGTGTATGAAAAAATGCGTCTGATGTTCCGCAGGAGACAGGACATGGTCGGAAGGAGCTCCACGGCCCAGCGGACGAGGTGCTCTGCTCCCCCGTGTCCTTTTGTCTTCAATTTTTGTTCTTTCACACTCTCGTGTACGGGGGAAAAAGGTGTCTGAACGGCGCCAATTCGCAAACTAGTCGCGAAAATTCGCTCGCATTTCTGACCAATCCCGCATGATGGTGCAACGTGTCTAGGAGCATCGTGGGGTTGGTGAGAGCCAACTAAGGAACCGTCTTTATCCGTGGGTAAAGCGCCGTTCACACACTTGCAACCGAGTAGAACGGAGAGAGACAAGACGGCGGAAGACTTGCTCCGCAGCAGCGCATCCAAACTTAAAGGGATACTGAAACAAGGAATTTAGTGTCCATAGTAAGTGGCGCACGTTCTTTGCACGAGCCAGCAGCCGCCGGTGTGCGCGAGCACACGCAACAAAAATGACGTCAAAGACCTCCATTCGCGGTTAAGATGACAGTGAAATGCATAGGCTTCGGGCCAAAAGAGAATAAAGACAAGTTTTTCATCTACGCAGTGGTGTCTGGTGTAAAAGATAAGCGGTCTAACAAGCACGTAGCTTTCACTTGTAGAGATGAAAAGCCTGTCTTTATTCTCCTTTGGTCCGAAGCCCATGCATTTCACTGTCCTCTTAACCGCGAATGGAGGTCTTTGACGTCATTTTCGTTGCGTGTGCTCGCGCACACCGGCGGCTGCTGGCTCATGGAAAGAACGTGCGCCACTTATTATGGGCACTAAATTCTTTGGTTCAGTATCCCGGGCAAGAGGGTTAAAAACTGGTCTTGTCTCTCTCGGTCTTACTCGGTTGCAAGTGTATAAACTGCGCCTTACTTTCCTTCCACCGTCTGGATTGTCTCGAGATAACAGGCGTCATTTTTTGAGGTACGTCATTATTTTTCTGCGTGGAGGGCCTTGGGCACGATGGCACCGGCTGTGGTGATGTGACTGTATAGCACGGGACCATTCAGTCGGTTCATCAGGAGAGAAGAGAGGGTGAAATTAGCGTCGCATCGATCAACGCTCCCATTTCATGGCTCTCCTGTTCTGCGGTTTTCTGTGCTTTGGTGATTTCTGGCGCACTTCACTTACCGAATGGCTCCTCGTCATGCTTGCTGGAGCAGGCATCTGCAACAAAACGCCATAACAGGTATTTTTATCGGGAATTTGCGAGCAGTTCACGGGAGAATGTGCTCCTATCCAAAATATATCTCTGTTTCGAAGATTTATAAGAAACTCGCTGTTCTGCTTCTCAAATCATTACATCGATGACTAAATGAAGGTAGAAGGGCGCTAGCGTTTGTATGTTAGTGGGTCGAATATACGCATATTGGCGACTGGTTCACATAGGTGTAAATCTTTTGCCAAAGAATACAGCGCACGAAAGCTATCGAAAACTTCCGTCCTTGAAACTTTTGAAAATAACACGGAGAACAAAAAGGTATGACGTCCCAGTCAAACTCAATAGAGCCATCGCAGGTGGGCATAAGAAAAACTAATTTATTAGTTTGGCTAAAAGCAATTGTAACTGTGTATTACTTTGGTGTTTGTAATTTGTAATGGGTTTTTAACGTTAACTCATTTGGACGAATCGCAAGGCGCCTGATTCAGTCTAGGCAGTAAAATGGATAGGTGGGCTAGTTGATAGTAACTTGTAAAGCGCCTAAAAAAAAACGAGGAAGACGAGACAGGACCGAGCGCTAACTTACAACTGAACATTTATTGAAACGCACTTACTATTTGTACACAAATTCAGGTGTCCGTGTGCGCCTAGTCTTGACGAAACAAAAATAGTTTGAAAACTAAAAAGCAAAACAGAGAGATTTGTTTGAGGCCTACTGCATTAGAGTTGTAGAAGCACAAAATAATAAAACGACATCAAAGAAAAGCGCTCCAAGACACGTGCCATGAACCAGCGTTGGACGCAATTCAGGTGAGGCACGGGCACGGAGCTTGCCATGGACACCGTTCCAACGACAAACCGCCCGATGAGCAATCTTTAATTATAGGTTCTTGTAAATATGTAGTATCTTTCTTGTTCGCACTGCTCCTGGTTGTAATCCAGCATCTACAATTGGTGACCCGGCTGCTCGGACTTACATCAGTCCTCGCCCATCAAGGCAAGTCTTCTTGTTTCCATTTGCTCATCAGCGGTTGCAATCTCTTAACAACCCCATCATATCAAGTAGCGATGTCCTCCACAGAAGAGAGTTCAGCAGCTGTTGAAGTTGCTGCAATCAATTTCAAGCTACCTGAATTCTGGACATCAGATTCAGAACTTTGGTTCCTCACCATCGAGTCGTCGTTCCGCAAAAACAAAATAACATCCCAGCAGTCGAAATTCGACCATGTGGTCTCATCGCTGCCACAAGCAACGCCAGCTGTGGTTCGGGACATCTTGCGTGCACCCCCTCCAGAGGCGCCGTACGACACTCTCAAGTCTGAACTGATACGGCGTACAACCGAGTCTGAACAACGCCGGCTTCGAGAACTTTTGACATCAGAAGAACTTGGAGATCGGAAACTATCAGAACTCCTTCGGCGTATGACACAACTCCTCGGTGAAAAAGCCAACACTCTGGATGCAAGCATCCTCCGAGAATTATTTCTACAGAGACTTCCGAGTCAAGTACGCATGATACTCGCCACCTCTGAAACGGACTCTGTCGAGGCTTTAGCTTGAATGGCGGATCAAATCATGGACGTAAGCACTCCCAACGTTTGCCAAATTGCACAGCCCAACACCCCGCGCCAAGTATCACAGCAAGAAGACAGCCTAACGCAGGTAGTGGAGGCCAACAAAACGCTCGTGTCGACAGTCAAACAACTCCGAAGAGATCGCACAACTACGTCTGTCGACACATCGCTCGGCGTCACGTCAGTTTTCTGCCAGCCCGCCCCAACGCCGTCGATCCAGGTCTGCAAACAGGAGCGGTACTTGCTGGTACCATTTCACCTTCGGTACCAGCGCAAGAAAATGTGAGCCGCCCTGCATGTTCCGAGAAAACATCCAGGCCCGACGCTGTCGCGGGCGACGGAACAAGCCGTCTGTTTTTCGTGACCGAGCCTCGTCACTAAACTTCAGTACCTCGTCGATACTGGCGCTGAAGGAAGTGTAATACCACCAACAAAAGAGGAACGACGGCACCCAACAGACACACCACCGTTACAAGCTGTCAACGGCTCTTCCATCAAGACTTATGGTCAACGGTCACTCACCCTCGACTTAGGTCTGCGGAGGACGTACCGCTGGATATTCTATGCGGCAGATGTTCAACAACCCATTCTAGGAGCAGATTTTTTGCGACAATTTGGCCTCCTCGTTGACCTCAGTCGCAACATACTCTTGGACAGAGGAACGCACCTTTACGTTCACGGTATTCTGTCCAAGACAAAGTCCCTCAACCTTACTATATCCACGCAGGTCTCAGGGGCTCCTTGGAAGTCGCTTCTAGACGAGTTTCCTCAACTACTCCGGCAATCCAACACCACAGACAGTAAAGCACACCATTACACACCATATAGAAACAACTGGCCCACCAGTGTTCGCACGACCTCGACGCCTTGCTCCTGATCGGCTCAAAATCGCGCGGCAGGAGTTCGAACATATATGATCGAACTCGGCATCGTACGTCCCTCATCAAGTACTTGGTCATCAGCCTTACACATGGTACCAAAAAAATCCGGCGATTGGCGACCATGTGGTGACTATCGTGCTCTCAACAATGTAACAGTGCCAGACCGTTACCCCATTCCCCATCTTCAAGACTTCGGGAATTCGTTACATGGGTCTAAAATCTTCACAAAACTCGGCGAGGATAGCTGCGTAAGTGCACCGTCAGTGCACTTAACTGAGAGTGCTTTTTATGTGTCGGGGGCCTGAATTTGTGTACAAATATTGTGTTTCACTAAACGTTCAATTGTAAAAAAAAAAAAAAAAAAAAAAAAGGTGGGTTGTGTGTATGTTTATACAGCGTAGAACTTGGTCTACCTCAACGGGCGACGGGTCTGCCAGCTGTAGATGAGAAATTTAGCCAATGCAGTACAACCGCTAGCGTCTTTAACGTGCGCCACGCAATAGTGATACACGACCGCACGCCGGTACGATGCTCATGGGCAGGGGTGGGGATTAAACCTAGGATCCGAGGATCTGCAGCGCGAGCTTTTGCTCTACGTGCTCCGAGGTGGTGTGCGCTAGCCCACTCGGCCACCGATCCCCCCCCCCCCCCTCTTTTGTTTTCTTTATATCCTTTAAAGGGATACTCCAACAAAATTTCGACGGTTCTTTCTTGGTCTATTCGTGTTCAAGGGAGCATTATCACATCAGACACACCAATCTCGTTGAAAAAGACATGAAAAGGAATTTTAAAACAAATTAAAGGATTAGCAAACAGCACCTGGTGGATGTCGCTAACGCCTCGTTTGTAATGCCCATCTAGGAACCTTGACAGGTAGTGACGATAACTGTCTCGCCTCCGGCCACGACGGGAGAAGAGCTCTCGAAGAGAAGAGCCCTCTCCCCAAGCCCCGAGACTCTCTTTTGTGTGTCCCAGAAGTCGCTATTGTCTTTCTACAAGATTATAGAAGATTAACCCGTCACTCAAAATTCGTACAAATGCAGCTTTGGGGTTACTTCCGGTGGCCCGACCGCTGGTGATCTTCGGCGGCTTTCAGCGGATGCTACGAGCCGTCGGGGCCTATCCAAGGCCGTGTGTATGTCACATGACCTTGGAGAGGGGGCACAGCGACGCGCGGAAAGCGTATCACGCTGGCTGGGATAGCTCGCAGCGCCCGCTGCGTCCGTACGTAAGGTCCCGAGATAAGGCCCATACGCACATTCGCGTTTGAGCGCGGTGCGTTCCGTAGCGGCAAGCGGACGCGTTGCGTTGCGACGAGCGCTTGCGCCAAACTTGTACGCACAGTTGCGTTGACACGCAGTCAACCGCAGTCAAGAGCCAATAAGAACGCGCTATCGTCGCTAGTGGCTCACCAATAGTAAGCGAAATCCAAGGCAACATGGCGGCGCACGGCGACAGCGTCGAAGCGTTCGATCTTGGGATTCTCGCCGGCTTCCCCGACGTTTTGTAAAGCTTGAACCATCGCAGCCTTGGAAAGTACAGTCTCCACCGCTCCCCAAAACGACAAAAGCAAGCGCTGCGACCGGCGAACCGGATACGTCTCGCCGAGTCGGCCGGGTGGGGCGAGCGAACACGTCACCCCTCGCCTCTTTCGGCTTCTGATTGGTCGAACGCGCCCGAACGCACCGCAACGCTTCGGAGAGTTGAACGAGTCTCTACTCGCTTGCGTCGCGCTACCGAGCGTTGCGGGAAAGCGCGCGTCGGTCCGCAAGCGACTGCGCCTGGCCGCAAGGACTCCGCAACGCACTCAAACGCGTTCAAACGCGAATGTGCGTATGGCGCTATAAACTACGTCACGACTGCCGTGGATGTGATGTGCTCTCCGCTGGCTGCTCTCCGAGCGCTTGCCAGAGCGGGCCGTCTATAACGAAAAATACAGCCATCAGGCTCAAAATACAAACGTGCGATTGACATTTACGGATATTGTGGATCATATCCAGCCTATTTCTGAACACGACGAGTATATTTCAAATTTCGTTGAAGTATCCCTTTAACTTCAGTTTGACAGTTACAATAAAGTCATTCATTTTTACTCATTAGTTACACCATAGCCTCCTCTATACTGACAAAGCCTGGCAGATCGCCACGACACACGGCCGCCGAAAGTGAAAAGGTAGAGCAGCAGACAAGAGATATGTAACTGGCGACCCGCTGCGGCGAGACGCCAAAGCATACCTGTCCCGAGCGATGGAATGACCGCTCGTGCTTCTCGCGTTCCTCGGGCTACCGCTTCTTTTCTCGTCGGGTTTGAAAACCATGTTTGGGGTCCTCGCCGCTGCAAAAGCTGTGCACTGACTACAGGCTCCCCGAGAAATGCTCTGTGTTACCAGATCCTCGCTCTCCAAATCTGCGACCGGGCACCCTATGGCTCCGCGTCGAACTGCCAGGCTTTGTGAGTATAGAGGAGGCTATGTTTACACGTATTTCACTTTTACCCATAAGACACCCCTGTTGGAAAATATCGACGATGGAAAGATGACGGAAAAGGCTGATACAAGCATAACCGTAATATGGGACATCCTATACAAGCGAAAAAGGCGGCTCCAGTATGGTGGAATAAGGCGGAACGATACAGGTGGGCGGAACCATACAAGCGTGTCGTATTATGGGACATCCTATACCAGCGTATTGGATTAAGGCGGAACCATGTAGGCGAACGGAACCATACATGCATAACGTAATATGGGACATCCTATACCAGCAAAAAGGTGATACCAGCGTGGTGGAGCCATATGGCTCCAGCATGTTGGTTTCGCCTTTTCACTGTTGTACAGGGCGATTTAGTTTTAAGCTTTACATATATGTTTAGAAAGGTCGTGAAAGCTAAATTAATGCGGTTTGTGCAGGCGAGTTATACGGCCAGGCGTACGTAGTATAGGGACCTAGTCGTAACGATCAGTCAGATAATTAAATACAATTTGTTAATCAACTTTTTAATTAGTGAAAATGAAAATATGGTTTCAATTAGAAACTTGCTGAGTCATTGAAAACCACAAAATCAAGTTTTTTTAGAAGGATATAATGCAGGGGTAGCGTTTTATGCGTTCTGTAAAAAGCTTTATTTGGATGAGTTTCTAGGTTTCAGTTTCTTATCAGAGCTCATCTCTGCGCCCACGGTCCTGTTCCCCAGGGGCTTAGACACGCAACACACGGGCGCCTTGCTTCCCTTCATCCTACGAGGGAGGCGAGGGGGCGGCTTTGCACTGCGGCCACCGGGCAGCTGGACCGCAGGTGCAAAGATGCGCTCTGGTAAGAAACCGAAGTCTGGAAACGCGTCCAAATTGACCATTTTTTTAGAACGCCATAAAATGCTACTCTTGTCTTATATCTTTACAAAGAAAATTGAATTAGTGTGTTTTGATGATGCTTAGCAAGTTTCTAATTGGAACCATGGGTCTATTTTAACTGATTAAAAATTTCACGAACATACTATACTTAGAGAGAGGCTGAAGCAGTTTTCTATTTGAGAAAACACTTTTAAATCTTCTTCATTCGACCTCCAGAATCTCAAATATCAAAATTATTTGCTAATTTAATTAATCGAGGCTGCATAGTCATTTTTAAAGCGCTGTGAAAGCACTTCCCTAGAGAGCGACGTCACAAGAGCAGCTTTCAAAATCTTTGTTCACGCATCTTCAGCGCCTATCAAAGCTATGCACGCACATGCTATTTTTTAAAAGGGCAGAAAAATGTGTCACGACTGCTGCCAATGCCGGAGAATATACCTAGAAAACTTGCGATTGGACGAGCGGCCCTTAAGCAACACACGCTTGGTGGCCGAAAGGTCTTCTTACGATGTCACTGTTGGTAGGATGTTTTTGTGTGTTTTCTCACATTTAGTTATATCTTTGAGGAAAACGAACGGGATATTCAGATTCGCGGGATAAAACTACGCTAGAATGAACCTCCATCTAGTTTTCTGAAAGAAGTCTGACACATCTCTGTAATAAGCCGACGGATCATTACAAATTAGCCTTTTATACTATGCCGCCCTGGCCATATAACTCACGTGCACAGACCGTGTAAATGTAGCTTTTACGGCTTTTTTTTAAAAAATCTGTAAAACATAGAAAAAAACACTCTGTAGAATGTCCCCCAATACGATACGATTGTATGGTTCCTTCCCCGCTTGCATTGTTCAAGAAAGACTTGTGGACATCCAGCATTTCATTGGAATGCTGGATGTCAGCGAGTCTCTACATCAGTGAGTGGTTTCAAACAAGCATGATGTTTGCACACCAGTAAGCTCTTATCCGAGGCTCACCAGGAGCACTAAGAGCAGAGGCGAAATGTCGTGACCTGGTCAATTTGGTTGCAGGTATTTATTTTTACAAGAACTGCATGCAGCAAAGCTTAACTTTGCTCAAAATAAAGATTATTAAAAATTCAATACTGAACAATGGTGTCCCTTGAGCTGTCAGACCAAACTCCCACTCTTGCCACTCAGGAGTTCCTAACTTGTGCGTAGAGGATCAGCACAACCCAGATTTGTGCTGCGAGCGCACCTGCAATATAAAAGTTGAATAAACATGAGATGAAATATGAGACGTTTACAATTCTCTGTAACGTAAAATTAGAGCACAGATCTTGAAGAGGAGGATGGGAGGGTATGCCCCTCCTCCCCCTCCCCTCCTCCTCTTCTGCTCCCTCCCATTTAACAGGAAATTTCCCTGAATTTAGCGGGAAAATTTCCCCACTAAATTTAGCTGGTTAAGTTTCCCCCTAAATTTAGAGCAGAAATTGATGTCACATGACCTCAACACAAATGCAGTTTTTCCGCTAAAAGTAGCGGGGAAAATGACGTCGCATGACCGTGTCACGTCATCCATAAAAAAATTCAGTTTCTCAGTTAGACTTAGCGGAAATATTAACGTCACATGACCGCAACATTAATTCAATTTCCTGCCAAGTTTAGTTGGGCGGTTACGCCGACAGCGACGCCGCGAAACGTGGAAACGGGTGCTAAGAGCTGCGCTAAAAACTAAATGCATCAGGTGAAATAAAGTGAACATACTGTAAGAAAAAGAAAAGAGAATCTAAGATACTGTTCTCAGATCCTTCCTTTTGTCTGTTCTCAAATGTTTTGATTTCAAGAAATTTATATCTTTTTATTCATACCCAGAGAACCCCTCCCAGTTTCAGCATGAATGCAATAAATCAATGCAGACTAGACCTTGTAAACTATAATGCACATGAAAATGAATGTTTGCCACATAGTCATGTATGAGTCAGTGGCTAAGATCTCTAAATACATTTGTATTGAGGAACATTCTTGAATAAAACTTCTGGGCTTCGAATTCAACAGTTTGTACTTCCATAAGGAACACTGTATGGCACCGATTTCTTTTTTTTTTGTGACACATCAGAAACAGCACAGCACTGTCATCCTCGCATACCTAACAAGAATTTGTATTTTTTTTTTAGCATGGCATGTGCTATTCTAATGCTCATACAGCATCCTTTAACAAATTTCCTTTGTAGAGCTTTTTATTGGTTCTTATTTAGCTCGCACGACACATTCGGTACCTTGAATTCTCACTCGGCATCAACAGTTTTATATATTAATGTAATAGCGAAAGACAAGATGTATGGACTTGAGTACGGCTCAGCAAGCACATATGTTGAGAAAAGTACTGAAGAAAACTCAAATGTCAAAATAAAAATAAGCTGGAATGTGGATACAATTATGGACATGGTCATGAATACAGTTAGCAGATTCAATATGAAGAATGTGTGTTAGACGCACGCTCAAAGAAACCTGTTGCATCTATATACATTCAAATTACATTGCAGAACCCAGCGCTGCAGTCTCAGGTGGGAGTTCGCTGAACGAGTCTACTGAAAATGAGTGTAGACGGAAAAAGCAGTTTGATCTGCGATAATGAGCATTACATAAGTGACATGTCATTATTACTGTTACAGTGCCGAATGTTCCAAACTGTCAGTCGCATCATTCTGTGAGTTCCCTCCGTACATTACAGGGTTTGGCTCTCTCGAATGCTTTGCGAGAAAAATGATGAACTGGAAATATCTAGAGTAGTTCTAGAAAAACTATTTCCAGAATCTTATCTCAGCATCGCAAAGAATATAAAAAGTTTCTAAAGACAAGGTTAGCGCAGCAGTTGAATAAACTAAATACTTTGTTTTTCAAAACCATCTTGCCGTAGTAAACGTATGAAGTTCCCCTAGGTAGAGCTAGTCATTACGGATGATTGTGCCCATTGCGTACCATAAAAATTTAATTTGCGACCTACAATATTTACAAACTCAATTAACTCTGAATAAGTGGACCACTTGGCATTAAAGATTGGCCTCACCATGACTGTCTGCCAACATCTACATAATAATTTCCATGAACCAATGTATTTCAAGAAAATATTTGGTACGAGCT